GTATATTCCAATGTTAAAGCGCAAAGATTCGTTTCGTCTCATATTAAGGTTCATTCCGGTTCCATCTTGCCCGCGCGGTGTGCCAGGGTTTTCTTACAACTCTTGCGCCCACCTTGCTTCTCTTGAGCCTGCTGACCACCCCTGCTTTAGGCTCATGTTCCGCAGCTACAACCATTCAAGGCGTTGACGGACGATTTATGCGAGGTCCAGTGAAGCACCTTTCTCCCCCCCCCTAGCAAACCGCTAGAAGCCTTCCCCAACAACTATTAAACAACATAACAATACACAAAACCTGCTTGGCGCCCGATACACGGTGGTCTAAGGCTATCGGGCAGGATAACGTGTGCGTCGTTTCCTCACCACGTCCTCATAATTATTTATCTTTTCTGCCCCGTTCTACTCCATCCATGGCGCACATCCATCCGGTGTGTAGCCCAGCGTGCTAACCAATGCTATCCTGCGCACAGGAACCAACGGCGGACGACATAAACAAACACAAAACAAACAAACCCACACTCCGCTGTGCCCAAACCCACCAGCTCCTCACCTCAACACTTACAACACGATACTTTAAAGCGGGTCAGCTTCAGCCTTTAGCCCCGTTAGCCATTCATAAGCCCATGTGCCTTGCCCGCCGGTTAGCACGACAGCAACGGAAGCTGCAACGGACACAACAACACAAACACGCGCTCTGGTGCGGAGTTAACACAGTCCCTGGGAGTTTAGCCCACACGTCGACGTATAGACGATGTTTTTCTAACGGTTCAGTTTGGGGAAAATAATCGGTAATCCTCACCACCTGATGGTGTGATTCAGGGCTGAAGCTCTGGACGCACACAGAAGAAGGTGGGCAGGTGACGCAGTACGGTAAACGAATCTGCGTTCCCAAAGCACTCGGTGAAGACGCGCCCGCGTTCGGTTTCTTCCAACAAAAATAGATAATCTAAATTCTATGTAATCACAATGTACCGACGGAAGCATTCAGGCACAACTAAGAACAAATATTTTGAAAAGTCATGAAATTAGGTTCACGCGAGAATAAAGTTGTACGATTACGCAGGGAATAAAGTCATTATATTAGTCTACGAGAATAAGTTCGTAAACATTACGCAGATTTAAACGTCGCGTACACATACGGAGAAAAAAGGTCGTATATATTAGGTCTACGGGAAATTAAAGTTTGTAAATAATTTACGAGAATAAGTGCATGGAGATATAGGTCACCGCCGCACCACTAAAAGTGGCGGGAAATATTGGCGGAGAATAAAAGTCAATAATATTGCGAGAATAAGAAGTAGATGAAACATACCGGGAGAAGAAAGTTGGGTAACATTGCGGCTAGAATAAAACGTCAGAAAGTATCTGCGGAGAAGTAAATTGTAAACTTTATTAGAATAAAGTTGTGACCATTGACGAGAATAAAGAGATATTTCAGAATAAAGTAGCAATTTCATGAGAACATGTCGCCTGTTGGCCAGCCAGAAAACGGTGTGTTAACAACGGAAAGTATCAATCGTTAGGTTACCCTGGTTGACTGTCGGTACGACTGAGGGACAAACAGTGACGCTTGCTGGGCTCAGGCTCGGGAGGTGCTGTTTGGGTTGGGCGTCACGATCTTGGATAGACTCTATCGAAGCTCCTTTTTATTAAAACGATTACATTATTCTCATAATATTACAACTTTAGTCGTGTAACATTACGACTTTATTCTCGTAACATTACGACTTTATTCTCGTAACATTACGACTTTATTCTCGTAATTTCCTAAAAAATAAAAAAAATGTATTTCTTAGTCTGGCCCTAATACTCCGTCGTATAAATGTGATAAATACGGAACACCTTATTATTATTATTGTTATAAATGTAAATGTAGCACTAAAAATCTTTGTTGTTCGAATCATTTTGATGTGAAGCTACTTTATAATTCGAATAACAAAAAGACTACATATATATATATATTGCCCTAGTGTGACATACCCATTGCTCTTTTGTTATTGTTCTATTTGTATTGTTTGTTTTTTGCTTCTTATTGTGTATAAACCATACATGAGCCAATTCATAATACTTAACATAAATAACATGTGTTTTTATTGCAAAATAATGTTTCTTATGTGGGTTCTGTGACCTAAACTTCTCTCCAGCGGTGGAAAGTATTACGAAATATGTATCAGTAATTATTGTTTTTGTTAAATTTGTTTCATATTTGGTCTTATATTTTTTTAAATAAAAAATAGAAAAGAAAAGTAGCAGTTAGTAGTCACACAGGCAATTATATCTTCACATGACCATAAAAATGTTGAACATTACTCAAGTACTGTACGTTTTAAAAAAGTTTTGACAGATTAAGGTCAAGTTAACCTTAAAATGCTGGTACTTAAGTACAGTACTTGAGTAACTTTATCTGTGTTTACCCATATGTACATGTATGTGTTATACATGTACAGTATTTACATAATGCTCAGGTGCAATTACTGTATTGCAACTTCATAGCAATGTTATCTGTAAAAAAGTCTTGATTTTGATAGTTAAACCTCTTCAGGAAGCAAATTTAACTCCGTCGGATCTGTAATGTTGTATCAAACACCAGATGGTATCAGAGATCTACAGTAAACAAAATACTTTAAATGTAGTTCACAGAGACTCCTCCAGGTGGCACTCTCAGTCTATTATGAGTGGACAGGAAGTACTTATTCAGTATTATTTAATACAATTTTATACATTTTTAACCATCGTATTAGTCTTAAGATGATTTTTGGAAAGTTGCCTGTGACCAATTAAAACCACAGAGTTCAGACTGAAGCCGGTTGTTCTTTCAGAGGCACCAGTTTAATTAAGTACAAAACCACCAATCTGTCTGTTTCTATAGATTTAAAGACAGTCGGACTGATTATGCCTGGAGTCACATGAGGACATCTGATCTGTTATGTAAAGCTTTCTTGTTACTTTAAAAAAAAAAAATGGACGGGGGAGGAAACCAAATTTATTTTCAGGTAAAAAACAGAAATATTCTCAACATATTTCAGATGTATACGACGAGAACTCCCATCCTGTCATCATTCCCTCTTCTTCAGGCCCCGCCTCCGACGTCTGTGATTGGCAGCCTGGACAGGAAGGCAGTAGATGTGCATGGGGAACTTCTTGAAGTAGCTGCTGACCCACGGTCTGTGGAAGACACAACACGAAACAATCACTCTATTTACTGCACTACATTTACTGTCTGTTAAAAAGAAGTTGAAGGTTAGTATGGCAGAAACATTTTTGATATTTTAACACCTCAAAGTATTTGTCTTCAAACATGAGTTTTTCATTGTGTTCTGTCAGAGAACATATTATACCAAACTCCCTTTAAGAAATATGACACATTATCAATTCCTCACACGTCCCTAAAAACACGTAACTCTTGAAGAGACAAGATTAGTGCGTCATATGTTGAAAATCTTCTGGTCCATTCGGCATCAATCAGTGAGGATTTGACAGACATTTTGGGGGATTGTTGCAACCTAAAATGCCTTATTTCACTGCAGCTTTTCTAAAATAAACTGTGATACATATTGTATTTTCTTCCAATAGAATTGTGAGAGAAAGTGAATATTGCAAAACTGATTGCGATTTGTTTTTATTATACATTAAAAATCAAAGGCAACTTAGAATAAAATTGTTAGTAGTTTGGAGTCCTCCCACCATGGTTCCAGCTTTTCTGTCATACCTCTTTTAAACTTCACACAAAGATTTCTGTAAAGGATACACTCTTCCGGCAAGTCTCCTCTCTACTCCAGAGGCATTTTAGGAATTGAGACGTCTGTCAAGATGGCGCACTGAGATCGAGTTCAGGGTCACAGGCAGGAGTAGAGTGGACAGAGGAGACGAGGCTTCAAATAGAGAAATGAAAAGAGCAGACTGACTAAAAAACGGACGATCAGATTCATCTTCAGACCAAACTGTCAAATTCTTCTGAGTTAGTTCAGCTACAGGAGAGAAAAGTGGAAAACTAAAACACTGCTGCTTCAACCTGTTGACTCATACACTGAATGTGAGTTTGACTAAAAATAGAAATCAGAGTTCAGTGAAGTAAGTAGAGGAGGGAGGGGAGCCAGGACTGACTGCACTTCAGATTCCCTCAGAAAAAAATGGCTTCCAGATTAGAGGAAGATCTGTGCTGTCTGGTCTGTTGTGACATCTTTAGAGATCCTGTCTTCTGCCATGTAGCCACAGCTTCTGTAAAGATTGTCTGCAGAGCTGGTAGAGAGAGAAACAAACACGCTGCTGATTTGTCTGGACCATCAGCAGCCAGTGTGTGTCGTCTGCAGAGATTCAGAAAAACACTC